AACGCGCACCAGCGATCAAGGACTTAGATTTAGCGTCAGAAAGTCTACCTGTAGATAGAGCCCTGGGAATCCACTGGGACGTAGAACAAGATACCTTTAACTTAGTTACGAGTAGCAAGGCACATCCGGAGAATCGAAAGGGCGTCCTGTCATCAGTTGCAACTGTTTATGATCCCCTCGGGATTGCAAGCCCTCTTCTCCTACCTGGTAGAGAAATAAATCAAGAACTTTGCCATAGGAGATATGACTGGGACGAGAATCTCCCACCAGATATACTTGCCAGTTGGATAGAATGGAAAAAAGGACTTGCAAGTTTGAAAGATCTAAGTATTCCACGTTGCTTCAAACCAAAGAACTTTGGTACTGTAGTGAGGGCGGAGCTCCACCATTTTGCCGACGCTTCACAAGAACATGGTTACGGAACGGTTTCCTACCTGAGACTGATAAACAAAAGAGGTCAGATTCATTGTAGCTTTGTGATGGGAAAGTCTCGTGTTAGACCTTTGAAGAGCACAATGACCGTACCCAAGCTGGAACTTACAGCCGCAACCCTGCTTGTTCAGATGAATAAGTTGATTGTCAGAGCGTTGCAAAGAAGACTCAGGATCGACAACGTCAGTTATTGGACAGATTCTGTTATCGTTCTTAGATACATCTTCAATGAAGTGAGAAGATTTACCACCTTCGTCGCAAATCGTGTTGCCATTATTCGACAAGAATCGGTTCCAGAACAGTGGAAACACGTAAGATCCGAGCTTAATCCAGCTGATTATGCTTCAAGAGGGATCAAGGCAACAGAATCAAGAAAGCTGCAGATATGGAGACAAGGACCAGAGATTTTGTGGACGGAAGAAGAAGAATGGCCTCCACAGCCACCAGAGATATCGGCAACATTGTCAGAAACGGATGAAGGAGTTAAGAAGGAGAAAGTGACAGTCGGAGCAACGACGCTGCAGAAGGACTTTTGGGACTCACTGTTTCGCAAGTACTCGACCTGGAACAGGCTAAGAAGAGCAGTTGCATGGCTCATCAGAGCTGTTCGTAAGTTGATTGAAGCTTGGCCGCGTAAAGCTGAGCGCGACAACGCCAAGAGCTTGCGACCCAGTCAGGAGATTCATCCAGAAGGAGTCGTTCTTAAACACTCAAGACAGTGAAGTAGGAATCTTGAGCAAGGAAGTTAAGGAACGATTCATCCACCTGAAGCCAATTTTAGAAGACGGAGTGATTCGGGTAGGAGGGAGATTAGATCGTTCATATCTGTCCTATGATGCGAAGCATCCCATCATCTTGCCTGGAAAACATCCAGTAACAGAGCTGATAATACGTCATTATCACTATCGCAATGGTCACGTTGGAACCAATCAAGTATTAGCCGAGATACGACAACGTTTTTGGATARTAAGTGGAGTGTCGTCGGTTGGAAGAGTCTTACGCAAGTGCCACGAATGCAGGCGTCAGAATGCTA